AAGTACAAGGGATTGAATCCAGAGGTGTTCTACCACTGAAGTACATCCCCAGCCCTTTTTATATTGAGACAAGCTCCCACTAAGTTACCCTTGCTGGCCTCAAACTTGTAATCCTCTTGCCTGAGTCTCCCTAGTAGCTGGGATTACAAGCATGTGCCACTGTGCACAGCTCTGAGGGAAGAACACTGAAGGAAGAAGTAGTAGTTGTCAATTTCTATGTTACAAATTATCCCCAAATCTAGTGGCTTAAAACATTTATAATCTCAGTTTCTGTAGATCATCAATTCTAGTGCACCTTAGCTGAGTGGTTGTGGGTAGTTGTGGCTGCTGGTTTCATGAGGTGTCTCATGAGGTTACAGTCTCAAGATGTTAATCAAGGCTGTGGTCATCTGAAAATCTGACTGGGATGGTAGGATCTGTTTCTAACATGGCGGACTCACATGGTTGTTGGCAGGACACCTCAGTTCCTTGACATGTAGGTCTCTCTGAGGGATGCTTGAGTTTCCCTCTGACATGGCAGTTGAATTCCACAAACATGTGATCCAAGGGAAGCCACAATGCCTTTCATAGCCTAGGAATTCACACACTATCGCTTCCCCTATATGCTATTCTATTCAATAGAAGCAGGTCACCAAGCCCAGTCCCTCAAGGGAGGAAAATTAAGCTCTATAAGCTCTGCTTCTTGAAAGGAGGAGTATCAAAAGAGTTTGTGGGCATACTTTAAAACCCCCAAAGAAGACTACTACTAATAATAATCCTTATTGAACATTCACTATGTGCCAACTACTTTACATTGCCTTAATTTATTTAATCTTCACAGCAACCCTTTGGGGTAAGTGGTACAGTTGTATGTTACTTAATGATGGGGCTATGTTCTAAGAAATGTGTCCTTATGCTATTTTTGTCATGCAAACATCATAAAATGCACTTACAGGACTAAGTGGCTACAATATCACTAGGTGACATAATATGTGATCACTGCCACACATGCAGTGGGTCATTGACCAAAACATCATTATGTGGTACGTAACTCTAATTATTACCCATTTTACAGATGAGGAAACAGAAAGGTTAAGTGACTTCACTAACATTGCACAGTTAATAAGTGGTAAAGATAGAATTCAAACTCAAGAAATCTGACTCCGGTGCCCCTGCTCTTAATGCCACCTCCCCCAAACACTTACACATCCAAGACTGACCTGCCAGGGGTAGAAAGTGAAAGAAACATCCTGCTGCTGAGTGCCATACCTCGATGTCCAGGAAGAGCTGTGTGTAATTTGCTCTCAATGGAGGATGTCTCAGGAAACGGAAAACAGAGTCAGAGATGGAGGGACCTGTAGAGTCTGGTAAAGGCAGTGTACCCTTGAGGGTCTGGAGAATGAGAACTCTCTTTCTGCCTCCTCATTGGGACCCACACACACACACTCACCTGTACTGCCCAGGCCATCCCTAAATGCCCAAAGCCTTCCTTGTTCGACTTCCATCCAGGACCTTGCACAATCCCTCATCCCCCACGCCTTCCCAGGAGCATCCCCTTTCTGCACACCCTTAACCCCTGTACCTTTCCCCACCCCGCATCTGCTTCCTGCCCCTCTGGCTGTGTCTTGCGTCCCCAGCATCTGTCCCCTCACGTCCGGGTCCTGCCCAGCACCCCCTTCGCCCACGCCGCCCTCCACACGTGCACGCCCTGTGCCCCCGGCACGCCCCCCTCCCCACCAGCGGGTGTCTGACAGCCGGACAGCGGGATCTGCACAGCAAGTGAAATTCCCGTCGGATCGATAAAGCCGAAGCGCTGGCGGCGACGGGTCGATGGTTTTATCTGTCTCGGCCCCGCCGCGCCCGGCGTGCTGACAGTCGGACCGGCCGGCAAAGGCGTTCAAGGGCAGCCGCGCCCGCCGCCCCCTCCCCTCTCCTCGCCCGCGCTCCCCTCCCTGCGGCCGCTGCGCCCACTGGACTGCAGGCTGGACCGGCCCGCCGCCGCCCTCGTGATTTATCTGGATTTTTAATTGGAAAAAATTTGCGAATTAATTGATTTCAGGAACTTGCCAATTAACATTGTAATTGGGTGCGTGATAAATTCCCAAGGAGCGTGTCAGCTCCCTCCGGGCTGACGGGCCGCGTGCGTGCGCGGGGCGGGGCGGGTGGCGCGGAGGGAGCCCCAGCCTCGGCTGTCCTTGCCCCGCCCCTGCCAGCTCTCCAGAGGACAGAAGGAGAGCAAAGGAGGCTGGGAAAAGATGAGACACCAAGGCATCTGACACATGTGCCCTCCTTTCTTCTTCTCAACATCGGCATCCGGCAGAGAGTGGCCATTTCACAGATGGAGAAACTGAGTCCCATAAGAGGGCCGAGCCCAACCGCGGGCATTCGCCATCTACAGCCTGTGACCAAGGCCTTCTCCCCAGCTCTCCAATTCTCTCTTGTTTTTCCCCTTGTTCCTTCTCCCAGCTGCTCCTCTCTCTTCTTACCCCTGATAGCCCTTGCCTTCTGCTTTCCAACTGACGCCTTCCCTGTCTCACCCTGCCTTGTCTCCTTTGCCTCTGGGAACTTTCTTTAGACTGGCCCACTCCTGAATCTTTGGATGCTGCTGCCAGGGTGCCCTGCATCAACCTGGGTGAGTGCCTCTCTCCCACGTGGCTCTGCTTGAGTGGCTCTCCAGTTGGGTCTGTTCTGCCATCAGTTCTGTCAACCCAACAGCACAAAGCAGGCTTCTTTGGCAACCAGATGTTATTTTGGTCACATCCAGGGGCCCACAGGAAAATCAGAGAACTTACCCTTCACAAACACAGGCACAACACATAGGTGTGCACATAAATCTCATTTCCACATACATAAATGTGCTCACACAACCTTGAAAGAACCACCTTCCCAAAGATGCACATTCCCACAGGTACATGGCCAGCCAGACCCTCCCAGAAAAAGTAGTCAGAACTTCCTTTGGCACAGCACATAGACTTTTCAAAACATTTTCACATCTGAGATCAGAGACAATGCTCACACACTGACCTCACCCGTCTTTCCTCAGTCCTGCACAAGGGCTCCTTTAGACCCCAGGATTTAGCAGACAGAACAAGGACAATGTTCGGTTGAGGACAGATTCCATGCTGGAAGGAGTCTAAACGTAGTAGCAGTAATGAGAATATTTGTGAGCCAGGAGGAAGCTCTCTCAGATCAAGATGGGCTGCAGAAGAAATGCTCTGGAAGCCAGTAGCATGTATGGACTGGGGGCAGAAGCAGGGAGGCAAATGAGGAGGTTGGGCCAGGTGCAGAGGATGCTTGATGAGCCTGCCCTAGGACAATGGCAATAGTGGTGGCAATGCAGGAGAAGGATGGTGAGACACCTGGAGGACGAAGAAGTCAGAAGACTTAACTGGGGTACTTACTTGGAGAAAACTTTCTGACCTGGTTGATTGAGAGGGTGGTGGTAGCAGAGAAACAAGTGACTGAAGAGAGGAGGAAGCAACAGGCAGAGTTCTGGGCAAGCTGAGCTTAAGACACCTCTGGGGTGGTGATAGGGTAGGAACTGCATGTGTACAGAGACAAGCGGGAACATAGATGGGAGCTGAAGATGGACGAGCAGGTCCCAGACCTCTCTGTGGCCCTCAGGCAGGAGTTTCCACCCAGAGGAAAGAAACAGCCTTAGTCATGACAAGATTGCACAAAGCTGAAGGTGCAGGTTGGCTTCTTGGGGCCTGAGCTCAGAGATCTTCTCTCGGAGGCCTCTAGAGTCACTGTGAGAGCTGGCCTCTGGGCTGGAGAACTACCTCTTTGGGCAGAGCTGTAAGAGAACTGAAATAAGCCAATGGAGGCTGGGTGACTCTGGAGGAGAGGCGGGCTATAGAGATGGCAGTGCCCTCACCCCCACTTAAGCCTTATTTAAGGCCGGCCTCGGTGTTTGGTTGGGTAATGAACTAGATAAACAATTCCCCAAATAGATTAAAACGAAGTGTAACTTACAAAGGCGGCTGGTGATGATGGTTTATTCCCGGGCAGTGCACCATTTCTTTATTTCCAAGGATAATTCAGTGTAAATCACCTTAATTAAAAGTGTCAGCCCAGCCCATGAATATTGTACTTAGGAACGCATTTCCTGGGTCCCAGTTATAATTTAAAACCCATGGATCACTAGGCAGCGAGTGGCTGAGCAAGGGAGGAAATCGTTGAGGGCGGGCTGTGGAAACAGGGAGGGACAGAAGGCAGAGCTGATGGACTGGGCGGGAGCTGGGCTGCCAACAGCTCCCAGAGCACAGAGCTCTCTTTCCAAGGCAGGCCCCTCACCAGACTCCTCAGTCTCTGGGAGACCAAACAAACTTGGAGGTGATGGGGTTGATGGAGGAAAGGTAGGGAGGGGCCCTTGCTCAGAGCAAGGGAAAGAATAGGAGCTGGTATCAGCTCCACGCAAGGAAAGGAAAGAGCATTGCTAGGAAAAGATCCAGAACATGAACTTGACCAAGTAAGAGGCTGGACATCCTGACCCTGAATGGCCCAAATCTATTTATCAGCAAAGTGAAGCCCAGGGTCAGTAAGACCATCCCCAAAGTGACACAGCAAGCAGAGGAGAAAAAAACTCAGAGTTCTGCAAATAAGCCTGAGCCCTGCATATCCTTAGAAAGATGATGTGGGCAATTAAAAAATGAGCACTCTGGGGGGCTGGGGTTGTGGCTCAGCAGTAGAGCGCCCGCCTAGCACACAAGAGGCACTACGTTCGGTCCTCAGCACCACATAAAAATAAATGAATAAATAAAATAAAGGTATTGAGTCCAACTACAACTAAAATATATATATATAAATGAGCACTCTGGGCCAGGGTTGTAGCTCAGTGGTAGAGCACTTGCCTAGCATGTGTGAAACATTGGGTTTGATTCTCAGCACCGCATATAAGTGAACAAATTCAAAAATAATAATAAAGACCCATCAACAACTAAATATATATAAATGAACACTTTGTGTGAGCATGGAGGCTATAGTCCCAGCTACTTGGAAGGCTGAGGCAGCAGGATCTCAGGAGCTCAGGAACTCAGGGCCAGCCTAGGCAATGTAACAAGACTCCTCCTTCCCTGTCTCAAAAAATAAATAAAATAAAAACCAACACTTCAGATTTGGTCAGATACAAACTCAAATCCAAAACCCTTCACAGACTGTGAACACAAAGTTGTCACAGAACTCATTAGTCAACTTTGTAAAGTTTTTGTGAAGATTCAGTGAGATAAGACATTTAAAGCCTGTGTCTTAGGCAGGCACAGTGTTGCACACCTGAAATCCAGCAACTCAGGAGACTAAAGTAGGAAGACCACAAGTTTGAGGCCAGTCTGGGTAACTTAGTGAGGCTTTGTCTCAATAAAAGGAGTGATGTAGCTCTGGGGTAAAGCACTCCTGGGTTCAATCCCCAGTATTTGTGGAGGTGCAGGGAAGCCTGTAACTATGATATATAGTGGGTGTACAATAATTGTTCATTCTTTCCTTTTCTGTTCTTACTTGATCCAACTAGATACTACTTATATCCCAGTTGGGGATAGGGCCTGGTAAACAAACTGTATACATTAGATGCCTCACTATGTAGGCAGAAAGGTGATATTAGTACTTGCTTACTGAGTGAATTGAAGAGTACAGTAATGATAAAAGTCATGAATTCACCAACAAGTTGCTCCTCGAGAGTAGCTCAGTTTCCCCTCTATATCTCTGATGCCTAGATCAAGGCCTAAAATGGATGGGAATGAAAGGTAATTGAATGGGGCCTTTTCTGTCTGTCCTTCTTAGTCTATGATGCCCCCTCTGTGTGATCTGACTGGTAGATAGCTCTTTCTTACACTCAGACCTTGGTTTTACCCTGTTGCTGAGCCAAGGGCCTCTGCACTGTGGTGTATGTGTGTTTGTATGTATGCCCATATGTGTGTACCTCTGGAGATGACTGTGCATCTTGGTTTGTGTCAGTGCCTGTGGATGTCTTACCTGTGCAGTTTATGTGGACCTGTGTGCATGAGCAGATTTTCCTCGCATTGAATTTGTCTTTATGGCCACATCTCTGGAATTATGACCCTGCAACCCTGTGTAGTATGCACTCTCTAGGTGTAACTGCATGTGTATATGTGCCTATTGGCAGCATTATAGTCTGTGGATATGTGTGTCCCAACCTCAGCACTATTGACATTTTGGGTCAGATAAGTATGTATCGTGAGGAGCTGTCCATGATACTGTAGGATGTTTAGCTTCTTCTACCCACTAGATGCCAGTAGTAATCCCCCCTCCCCGCCCAAGTTTCAACAATCAAAACTATCTCCAGGGACTGGGGGTTTAATTCAATAGTAGAGCATTTGCCTGGCATATGTAAGACCCTAGATTTTATGCCCAGCACTGCAATACACACACACACAGAAATACTCCCTGGACTGGCATACAGCCCTCCCCACCATTGAGGTCACTACTTTATCCAAATCTGCACATTGGGTGTGTCTAAGTCTGACCCTGTGGATGTCTAAGCACATCTGTTGGTGTTTCCTATGTTTTTTTGTTTGTTTGTTTTTTGGGGTTTTTTAAGCCATCCTGGGGTATTGAGGATTGAACCCAGGGCCTTGTGCATACTAGCCAAGCTCTTGTGGGTATTCCCTAGGTAAACAGACTTAGTATATTCATATACATCTCACATATTCTGCATTGGATGTGTGTATATCTTTTGTGCCTTCTGAATGTTTCCATGGATGAGCTCCACATGTATGTGTGTCTATGTGGAGACCCTATAAAAATGGGCTGCATCTGCCTTCGTACATGTATTGGCCAGCACCTCTGTATACATGTATTTGTGTGTGTGTGTGTGTGTGTGTGTGTGTGCACTCAAGCAAATGTGTGAGCACAGATGTGGTGAGCATAGCGAGGGCAGCAGGCAGGGAGGGACAGGAACAGGGATATTAATGTTTCTGAAGTGGATCTGATTTGATACGTCTTGTTCCATTGTCAGCATCTGTTTAGCGGGGATTTGTAATACTTTGTGGCTCTGGATCACTCATGCTTAGCGCGGGATGTGGCCTTGCATACCAATTTTGCTATTAAACACAGTCCTCGCCTCCCCCACAGCCCATCCATCACCTCCCGCCCCGGCCCCCGCCTGCTCTGAGCTGCCCACCATATTTCAGGGCCCAGCTCCCGCCCGCCTGCCGCGCCCGATGCCGGAGGGCCTGGGGCTGACAAATTGAATCAGGGGGAGATCATTCCTGGCCTAACACAGTTTGCAGCGTGTTGGAGGGAGAATTGACAAGAGCCATGTCAGCTTCATCACCCCAATCCCATAGGAGATAAGAACAGGCTGGGGACAGGGCGTTGGGAAAGAAAGGAAACCTCCTAGGCAGGCAGAATTTTTAGGGCTAATCCCAGGAGTCAGGTAAAGTTCCTTTCCTCAGATCCACTGAGGAGTCTCCCATGCCTTGTATGCGTATCTCTCTACCAGTGATCAGCATGGCCCTTGGTCCCGGATAAAGGCTGATAAGGTAGGCCAGGCCACTGTGTAGAATAGGTTGCATGGTACTTGGCTAAGCTGGCTGGGTAAGGCTGGCTATACCATCTCTCTTAGGTTCTTCTTGGTACTTTAGTTTTACATACCCCGGGCAGCAGGTATAACGATCAACCTGTTTTCTTCTTTCTTGGCAGCAAGAATTCCCTTCTGAAGGATGCCATGGCTCCAGGCACCCCCAAGGTAGGTGGTCAATTATGTTTTCCTCCTGTCCATCCCGACCTAATTCTACCCAGATCTGGTTCTTCCTGAGAGAAAGGAGCTCCTCCTGGATACCCAGTGTCTCCTGGGTTTGAACATCAACCTAAGGCCTAGGGCTACTGTGTGTGGGGGGTGTGGGTGGGGGTGTTTCATCTGACTTCCTCCTAGGAGGAAGGAGAGGGATCAGAGTCAAGAGTGGCTTGGGGATATGGGCAACCCAAACACTAAGGCTGGGAGACTAAAAGGAGGAAGATGAGCTGTAGCAGGTGAAGAAAAGTATAGAAATTGAGTTCAAGACAGTGCAGGGCCTTAGAAGCCAGACCATTGGGTGTATGTGCAATGCAATAAGGACCCAGAGAGGATGTTGGTGATCGAAGGAGACAGTCTGCCCCTCTAAACACACATTATGGAAGAGAACCTTGAAAGCATCAGATGGAGAAAGGAAACATGAAGGGCGAGTATCTGTCTCAAAGGAGGGGCCAGAGAAACTTAGTATAATAACATAATTTATGCTGAGAACTCCCTACAGAGGAAAATGGTACTTCTTCTCCAAAGATGATGATTTGGAAGGGATGAGGACATGGAGAGGAACACTAAGCTCTTACCTATAAGTATCCCCTGCTCCACCCAAAGCATAAGGTTGCCCTTCTTAAAAGTTTTCAAAATAACCCCCTCTTAGTGCATATTATAGGGAGTGAGGCGTGGGTGTTGAAGCTCAGGGAATCTCAGGAATCCTGCACTTCCAGTCAAGGTGAGGTCCAGAAGGCTGGGAAGGAGACAGAGGAGGGACAGTTAGTATGTTAGGAGGACCACAGGATAACATAGTATCCCGAGATCTTAAGGAAAAAAAATGTTTTGGAATGTATGGGTGCTCAGCAATGCAAAAGGGAAAGGCTGGTGAGGGACCCACTGTATTTGGAAGACTTAAAGTCATTGGTGACCTCTGAGAGGGTCGTTTTGGGAAAAGGAGCCAAAGTGATAGGTATCACTTCTGCAGGGTTGGCCTCACTATTCTGCAGGCCTTTACAAAGGATAAAGGTGAACTTGGCACCTTCATTTTAGAAGTCTCTCAGCTGCAGTCAGCTGGAAGAGGAGAAGCAGAGAACTGAGCCCAGCTTTGGACTGGTGCAGGCCCTGGCCAAGGAGGCAAAGGCCTGCCAGCCCCAAAGAGAAAGGTGGGAAAGCCAGGCAACTGCGACTCACAGAGGTAGGGAGCCACAGTGGCCAAACTCATCCCAGCCTGCAGTATTGAATGGTGTGGTTAAGGAAGGTCATGACAAAACTTGCACATTGGCTAATACACCAGTGACATCTGACATCTGAGTATGGCTGGCAGGTTTGGGAACTTGGACACCAGAAAGGCCAAATATTCTAAGGCCAAATCCTGAAAATCTGCATCCATTCCTACCTCCCACATATGCAGACCGGTACACAAAGCCTGGTCAGAATACACACACAGGAAGTCTTAAACTTGGGCACATTCCCACAACCACATACACAGGAAGAGTGGCCACCAGATGAGATAAGAGACACTTGCTCACCCACTTCCAAATATACGCTTAATCCTCACAGCTGAACAGTTCCTGACCTATCCTTGGCCTTGACCTCAGCTTTAGGGAAGCAGGTCATGGGGGAAAGAGGTAGGAGGCAGAAGGTTGAAGCAAGAGACTAGGAAGATAGGGAGAAGGCGGGAGGGAGGAGGAGGAGAGGGCGAGGAGGCCTTAGACAAGATTGATGGCCTCGTTGCCATTAAGAAAAAAATTAGCCGGTGGCGGCTATCATATTAAAGGGTGAAGAAGCCGTGAATTATTTTCTTAAAGATCTTATCGCTTACAATGATAATTTTACCTTCCAAAAGGCCACTTTTAATGAGGCGAAGAGCCAGGCAAAAAGTCATGATTTAATGCTGAGATTTTTTTTTCAAAACACATTTTACTGCTTTTTGGTCCATGTTTAAAAAGCGCCAGTGACCTTTTTTTATTCTGCTTGCCCCAGGTGTAATGCTGAGGCCTCTCAGGGCTTCTAACCCAGAGAAAAAGAGCGAGGAAGGAAGGGAGGGAGAGAGAGAAAGTGCACACAAGCATGAGTTTTTCATGGTGGGGGACCCACATTGTTCACCCTCCTCAGCGTTGGGACCAGAGGAGAAGGACATTGCCTGACATCATCTTCTATCTGATCTGGGGCGGAGTTGCCCACAGGCCTCTTTTTGGGCTTGGGTGGGTGAAAAAGGAGCTGCCAGTTGCAGGGAATCCCACTCCAGGCTCTCTGCAGCCTCTTCTCTGGGCTGTGGGCGAGTCAGGGATCCCTGCCAGATCAGCAGCTGCCCCTTCCCTTCCCAGAGCCCTTGCCTGAGGATGTGCAACATGGCCACCGCATGCGGGTCACATCCTAAGGCTCAGTCGGAGATGAAGGATAAATGGTTGCTCCATCTTTCCCAAATTGCTTTCTTTGGGCTGTCACTGGCGATTTGGCATGGCTTTCTAGGCTGGGGAGGACTCCTAGGGAATTGTGTGCTTCCTGCTCAGAGCTGTGCAGGCTGGAGAAGGTGGGGGGGAGGAAGTATGGATTGCTTTTAGGCCTCTGGGCCCCCAGTTTGCAGCTGAACAGGCCTTGGCAAGAGCTGGCTCTCAGGCTGAATGTGCCATGTGGTATTTAGAATTGTGGTGCTCGCAAACAATTTAAAGTAGACAGTTTATTAATCTAAACTGCAGGCGTATGTAGAAGAGGCCGTGCAGGATTGACATGGGGGGATTAGTTTTGCTGGGGTTTTTGCTGGGGTCATCGCCACAGCACAGAGATAAATGGACCCAGCGTACATCCCTAGCTGCACGCAGGAAACTCATACATACTATTTAATTTACTGTCTCCATAGAGGGCTGCCATCAGCCTGTATTAGGGGCAGGCAGGGTGGTGGATATGTGGTTTTACCCCCAACCTTTCATGGGGGTTCCGGAGTGTCTGCTCTCTAAGGGATAATAAAGCAGGTTCTGCCCACTGTTCAGCCCACAGAGAGTGGACTGAGAGTGTCAGCTCCCTGGGGCAGAGATTAACTGCAGCAGGGATGGAGGTTTGGATGCTCTGGGGTGGGAGGGAGTCTATACCTAGATCTAAAATCAACCATTCTCTCCCATAACCATACTCCTGCGCCTGACCATATGTCTTCAGAATCTCAAAGGTGGCCTTCTGTCACCTTCTGCCCTACTTCTTTCTGCTTCACTCCCAAAAGCTCTACAGGACTGGTAACTCCAGGGGACTGACTACAGGTCCCATTTGGTCTGAGGCCACTTGTCCTTTTTCTTCTTCCAGTCCCTCCTGTTGTCTGCTTCCATCAAGAGGGAAGGAGAATCTCCAACAGCATCACCACATTCATCTGCCACTGATGATCTGCACCACTCAGACAGATACCAGGTAAGGAGGGCAGGTGGCCATGAGAGATTAGCTCATCTAGGTGAGAGCTTCAAGACCAGGCTTGTTGCTAGCTTTTCCCCTCCTAGGGAGGTCAGAGAAGAGGACTACTAAACTGTGTTTGGTTCCCTCTTGTGTCTAAGTAAACTCAGAAGGCCCAGGTGCCACTGATGGATGGATCTTAAAGATGGATGGTTCTTAAGGAAAGATGCCAAGGTCCCTGGGCTCTGCTGGGCTCAGAGTACCTCTCAAGTGTCCTATCCACCAGGAAGTATGCTAGGGAGTTTTGCTTTATAAGAAAGCCAGAGACATAGGCTAGAATCACTGAAGATTTTAGTCTTCGAAAGCAAGATGTGTAGCCAGGCATGGAGGCACACAACTATAATCCAAACAACTCCAGAGGCTGAGGAAGGAGGATCACAAATTTAAGACCAGCCACACTAACTTAGTGAGGCCCTAAGTAACTTAGCAAGATGCTGTCTCGAAATAAAAAGTAATAATAAAAATAAAAAAGGCTGGGGATTTGGGTTCAGTGGTTCAATCCCTGCTGGGGGAGTGGGGGTGGGGAACTCTTCAGCAAATCAACAGTCAATCCTGCCAAAACTTGGTATCAGGCCCATATAGAGAAACAGGTAGATATTGCCTGTGGGCAAACAGGAAGGGAGTCATCACACAGTCCTAAAAGATCAGAGCAAAAAACAAGGGAGCCTAAGGATAATAGCTTAGCTATAGATGACACTTCTTTGTGTAAGAAGGAGAAAGAACTTCCCTCAGAAGTTTTTACCTAAGAGGTAGAGCCCTGCCTTTGGGCACCCCTGTCAGAAAGAAGAAAACAAGGCCTGCTCCAGGAAATTTATCTAAATGGCAGGAAAGCATCTGAGGGATCCCCAATATGAACAGGGAAACACAGTCCTGCTCTGGTGGAGAGGCAAAACAGTAGGGAGTGATAAGCTACAGTGGAGAGCCAGGGTCCCTGCTGGCTCACACCAAGCCCTGGTGGAAACTAGAGAAACGTGTCCTCTCAGGCACTCTGTCCTCCCAGCTGACACAGTGTGGAATCAGGGTGCAGAGCTTGGAGAGTGGAGTGCCAAGTGTGGGCTTGACACCAGCCTCCATTGGCACCTCCTCCAATAAATGCCTTTATGTAGAGCTTGAACTGAGTAGCCCAAAGTGCCAGTGCTGGAGAGGAAGCCCCACCCTCATGAATCCTGATTTGAGAGCAGCAGCCCAGCCAGCCCCCAAGGAGACGTTGCCCTGATCCAGAAAACCCTGATGTGAGGTAGAGAAATGACCTCTTGGGCATCCTTGTCTGAGAGGAAGACGAGGCTCTGTCCTGGAGAGTTTCACTGCAAAGGCTAAGCAGAGCCCTGCTTTTAGAGGCCCTACTTCTCTCACAGCATCAGTCTCACCATCTGCTGAACTAGGAAAAGAATAGCCATCAGGCAAAAATCACCTCAATTCCTTGACACACACACCCTGTTCCTACTCCCAAAATGTTGGTGTTTCTTTTATTCTCAACAGAATATGAGAAAAGTTTCTTGCCTAAAAAATACATATATGACCACACACACATTCATACACAGCATTGTACATGCAAGTAACTCAGGAAGTGAGGAAACTTCTAGAGCCTATCTAGATGCTTCTCAGGTTAAAACCCAAGACCCTGTCTATACTCTTAAGTTTACCTCTTAAAGGACAAATCAAATTAAGTGACTTCCTATAAGATAAAGTTCAAGATCCTCTGCATAACAAGACCTTCCGTGATTTAAATTCAACCTGTATTTCCAGCTTCCATTTCTGCTACTCCCCTCCATGAGTCCCGTGGCCTATGTTCATTGAATCAATGCTACCCACCCGCCCTGTGCCTTTCCTTTCTTGCCTCCTTATCTTTACACAGCTGCTTCTTCTAACAGTGCTATTTTACCCCACCATATCAAATTTCTGATTATCCTTCAACATCCTGCCCAAATACCATCTCCAAAAGACTTTTGGTGGTCTTTTCTCATGACCCCTGTGTCCTTGTTATTGCCCCTGTCACCCTATGTTGTGATCAACTGTTTAGGTATGTTTCAGTCATCTATTGACGCCTAACAAACTATCCCAAAACCCATTGGCCACTTATTATTTCTTATGTTCTGTGGGTTTACTGGGCATTTCCTCACTTATGCAGCTCATTCAGCTAAGGACTGGCTGGGCTAGAAGGTCCAAAATGGTCCTATGACATGTTTTGGAAATTGGAGTGCCCTGGTCCTCTTTCGGGTAGCCTCTTGGCTTCTTAGCAGCCTCCTGGAAATGTCCCACCAAGAGGGTAAAGGCCAAAGTTGCAAGTCCAAAGCTAGATCTGGAACTCACACAACATGATTTCCACCAATTTCTATTAGGCAAGTCACAAAGCTAGCCCTTAATCAAGGGATGCAGAAATCCAGCTCTCAAGAGGAAAAGCTACAAAGGACTGTGGCCACTTTTAATCTATCATGAATCTGACTCTTCACTCCACTTGGAGTTCCTCCAAGGCAAAGACCTTGTCTTATCCTTCCTTTACTCAAAGGTTTATCTAGTACCACTCATATTCAGCCCAGTGTCCTTGCCTTCAAGGGGTTAGACTTGCAAATAGATAATTATGGCCCAGTGCTATGACATGGGTATAAATAAATTTTTAAAATAGCACAGTGAAAGGAAGGAAAAACAGCAAATTTCACTTGATGAACAAGGAAGAAAGGGTATTCAGTACTATGCAGGGTATGCAGTACTATGTAGGAAAGACAGAGAAGTACAACACAGAATGATATGTCCGAGGACCTGTAAGTAGTTCTTTTATTTATTTATTTTTAGAAAGTACAATGCTAACTGAATACTAACTACTCCCTGGATGTGCTGTTGGAAAGGGGAACTGGTAGGAAATGAAGCAGAAAGTAACCCAGGAACTAGCTAGGCATCCCCTACTCTTTATACAATGCCTGGCAAGTAGTAGTTATAGTTTTGCTAAATTTTAAAAATTGTTAAAGTGAGCCAGGCATGGTGGTGCATGCCTGTAATCCCAGTGACTCCAGAGGCTGAGCCAGGAGGCATGCAGGTTCAAGGCCAGCCTCAGCAATTTAGCAAGATCCTGTCTCAAAATTCAAAATAAAAAAGGATGGAGGATGTAGTTCAGCATCCCTAGATCCCCAGTACCAAAAATAAAGTTTTAAAAAATTGTTGAACTAGTCCTTAAAAGCAGGGGGTACTGGTTTCCAATTTGGATTCCCATTTACTTAGCTCCTGCTAGGTGCCTAACCCTCTTAACCATTACCCTCCTTAACCCTCCCGGCAACCACATAAACTAGGACTCATTGCCCCCAATTTTTTATTAAGGAAACAGGTGTAGAGAATGGAAGTGACTTTTCTGAGAACATACAAATTATGACAAACATAATTTGTTTATGGTAGGGTATGCCTACAATCCCAGCTACTTGGGAGGATAAGGCAAGAGGGCTTTAAGTTCAAGGTCAGTAGCATGACCCTGTCTCAAAATAAAAAACAAAATAATAACATAAATAATAAGAACTGGGGATATAGCTTAGTGGTAGATCGCCTCTGGTTTAAATCCCCAGCAACACACACACACACACACACACACACACACACACACAAAAGGGCAGGGGGGGGTGTGGAGAAGGAGGAGGAGTATGGGAGAAGGAGGAGGAGTATGGGAGAAGGAGGAGTTCACCAGTTCACTTCAAGCCCAAAAAGCCAAAGAAAAAAGAAAAAAAGATAGACTGGAGTCCCCAAATCCCCTTCAGGGCACACCCCCAGTGATGGAGGATCTCCCACTAGGCCTCAATTTCTAAAGATTCTACCACCTCCCAATAACACCAAGACTAACACCTGGGCCTCTGGGGGCCATTCCAGATCCAAACTATAGAAGTTTCCCAACCCTGTACTGGGCTTAAGGCTTCCCTCATAATGTCCTTCTCCTTTACTGGTATTTCCTTCATGCTAGTCCTTATGCTGGGTGACTGAATAGAGATGCCTCACCAAACAATAAAAATACATGTGATCAGAGGGAAGCCAGGGAACTATTGAAAACTCAGAGGAGGCAACAAACTCAAGACTCTAGGAGATGGGGAGGAAGAATGACTTGGAAGGAAAAATGAAGGCTTGCCAGTCCTTAACAAGTTAAAGAAGGGAACTGGGGGGCATGGGGCATGGAGTATCTATCCCTGAGTGCAGAGCATGGATGCTCAAAAAGCTACAGTGTCAGGAGGGCAAAGGAGGGATTAGGTATGGAAGAAATGTCTAGAGATAGGGTAGAGCAGGGCAGGCCTGTGTCACTGTGTAGATCTTCTAGGTGGAAATCTACTGAAGGATTTAAAGAAGGGGAAATAGGGTTAGTTTTGAACAAAAGAGAGATCAAACTGAGTGAATTGTGTGGAGGAGGGATTGCAAGAAGACAAACTGGAGACTAAAAGATGAGCTGAGAGACAGGTGCAAATTGAGAAAGCTAATAAGATTATGAACTAGAGCTGTGACCACCAAAGTAGGTAGAGCCATTAAAGAAACTCTCAGGGATGTCTTGCCTATGCCAAGCACCATGCTGGGCTCTGGGTTCACCCAAATGACTCATACATGGCCTCAACCTGGAGTCGTCAGCTCACTGATAAAAACTTGTACTAACTATAATGAGGATACAGAGATGGAAGGGAGGGAGGGAAAGCTTTTTCGATTAGGCCTGGAAGGATGAGTAGGAGATAACACAGGAGGTGGAGATGAGAAAATTCAAGAAATCTTTAAAGGGAGATTCTCAGGATGGATTCTACAGGAATGATTGAGGGGTGAAGAAGGTCGGGGCAACAGCGACTCTCAAATTAACTGTGGGCACACCTGAGTGATGGTGGCATTCCCTTATGAACTGAGAACCCAGGAAGCAAGTGCCTGTTTGGGGGATGCTGAGCTCAGTGTTGGCCATGAGGTCCTCTTGAGGAGCTTCAGGGGATGTCCAGCAACAGTGAAATATGGGGAATCTTCTACTAGCAGGAACGGGATGCATTGGGCTAAGTAGGAAAATGTTGGGAGCTTGCGATGGGATGGCCAGCGGACGATCAATTCCGACGCCTCCTCCGCAGCAACGCGCCTCTTTAGAGCGGATGCCCTAGGGAGGCCGTGCGGGAGGAGCGAGTTGGGGCCAGGCTCTGGGGAGGAAGGAACCCTCGCACAGGGAGGGGCCGTGGGGCGGGGGCAAGGACCTTGCAGGCACTAAAGCTGGGGCTGGCAGGCTCTAGGGGCAGTGGGAGGGACCCTGCGGGCGGCCCCAGCTAGTGGCTACCGGAGTTCTGAGCGGCTATTTCCTGGTCCCAGTCCGGCCGCCCCCCCATTGTGAACTTTCACCCCCAGCGCGCGACGGCGGAGGGTCACGTGATCATGGCCAACATGGCCGCCGCCGCTGCTGGGAGCTGAGGTGCCGCC